CTGGCAGCACCCTGCTTGCTGAACTCAGCCTCTGTATGTGCTTTCCACCCATCGCAAACGTGCCTCGTCGTCGTCATCCTCCTCCTCCTCCAACTCCTCCACTTTCTCCTTTCCTCCTCCTCCTCCTCATCATCCTCACCTCCTCCTCACCATCATCCTGCCTCCTCCTGCCTCATCTTCCTCCTCCTCCTGCCTCTTCCTCCTCCTCCTCATCATTACTACGATCCGGTGATTGATCCAACTCCTGCTGCTGATGCTCATCCTCCTGTTGTTGTCCTCCTACATTATCTTCGTTGTCCTTGTCATCTCCCTCCTCCTCCTCCTCTTCCCCCTCCTCCTCCTCATCCTCCTCCTCGTTCTCCCAATGTAGATTCCTGATGACTGAAAGAACGTCGTTCGTGGCCCTCTCTTATTCCTCCTCCTCCTCCTCCTCCTCCTCCTCCTCCTCCTCCTCCTCCTCCTCCTCCTCCTCCTCCTCCTCCTCCTCCTCCTCCTCCGCCTCCTCGAACTCGAACTCCTCCAACTCCTTCTTATTCCTCCACTCTCCTTTCTCTTTCCTCCTTACTCCTTCCTCCTTCATCTTTCCTGCTTCCTCCTTACTCATTCCGCCTTACCCCTTCCTCCCCCCTCATTATTCCTCCTTCCTCCTTCTTCCTGTCTCCTTCCTCCTGCCTCCGTCCTCCTCCTTCCTCCGTCCTCATCCCTCCTCCCTCCTCCTCCTTCTCTTTTTCTTATGTTTCGTTGCATCAATAATAAAATGTTATGGATAAACTGTTCTTACGAACACCATTCGTAATCGTAATAGTGTGAATAATATTACTAATACGAGTATTACTGTTATTATTGGCATGAGTAGTATTAGTAGTAGTAGTAGTAGTACTGGTAGCGGTACGAGTAGTAGTAGTAGTAGTAGTAGTAGTAGTAGTCGTCGTCGTCGTCGTCGTCGTCGTCGTCGTCGTCGTCGTCGTCGTCGTCGTCGTCGTCGTCGTCGTCGTCGTAGTCGTAGTAGTAGTAGTACTAGTAGTAGTAGTAGTCGTGATAGTAGTAGTAGTAGTAGTAGTAGTAGTAGTAGTAGTAGGTAGTAGGTAGTAGGTAGTAGGTAGTAGGTAGTAGGTAGTAGGTAGTAGTAGGTAGTAGGTAGTAGGTAGTAGGTAGTAGCAGTAGGTAGTAGTAGTAGTAGTAGTAGTAGGTAGTAGGTAGTAGGTAGTAGGTAGTAGGTAGTAGGTAGTAGGTAGTAGTAGTAGTAGTAGTAGTAGTAGTAGTAGTAGTAGTAGTAGTAGTAGTAGTAGTAGTAGTAGTAGTAGTAGTAGTAGTAGTAGTAGTAGTAGTAGTCGTACTCGCAGTAGTAGTTGTAGTAGTAGTAGTAGTAGTAGTCGTAGTAGTAGTAGTAGTAGTAGTAGTAGTAGTAGTAAGAAAATAGTAGCAGTAGTAGTAGTGGTGGCAGTAGTGGTGGTAATAGTAGTAGTAGTAGTAGTAGTAGTAGCAGCAGCAGTAGCAGTAGTAGTGGTAGTAGTAGTAGAAGTAGTAGTAGTAGTAGTAGTAGTAGTAGTAGTAGGAGTAGCAGTAGCAGTAGTCGTCGTTGTAGTAGTAGTAGTAGTAGCAGCAGTAGTAGTAGTAGTAGTAGTAGTAGTAGTAGTCGTAGTAGTAGTAGTAGTAGTAGTAGTAGCAGCAGCAGCAGCAGTAGTAGTAGTAGTAGTAGGAGTAGTAGTTGTTGTAGTAGCAGTAGCAGTCGTAGTAGTAGTCGTAGTCGTAGTAGTAGTAGTAGTAGAAGTAGTAGTAGTAGTAGTAGCAACAGTAAGAGTAGTAGCTGTTGTTGTTGTAGTTGTAGCAGTAGTTGTAGTAGTAGTGGTACTAGAAATATGTATGAGTATGGCTACCATCATCTTTTTTAATGTACAGTACGACTATGATTATTATTCGACTTGTTTTAATTACTTGCGTTTGTAGTATTATGGTCATTCCTATTCGTTGTATCGTAATGTTTCGTAATACCGAATATTACTGAGAATCACATTCCTATCATTTGACATTAGAGATGCTATTGTTGATGTGATGAACATTATTATGTGTAGTATGCTTCCCCTTGATAATATCAATCGGTGCATTGGTCGTATAGTTACTTTTAGTCGCATTCTTATTCTTACGACTATCACTGTTATCAATGATATTATGAATATTGTTCCTCCTCCTCCTCCTTCACCTCATCCGCCTCCGCCTCCGTCCTCCTCCTTCCTCTGTCCTCCTCCTCCTCCTCCTACTCCTCCTCCTCCTGCGCGGTGCGATGATGGCTCTGAAATGGCAAGGACCTGCTGTCGTCCTCCAGCTCCTTCTCGTCGTGCTACCCCACCTCCCCCTACGAGCTAACGGCCATTGAGTTCGTTAAACGCTGCCATCCCCCCCCCCCAGTCTCGAACGACACTTGGGGAGGGATCAAACTCAGAGACGTGCCGCTGCGGGAAGGGCACTCCGGTGTGGCCCTCTGTGGGCTCTACCGCCAGACCCCTTTTGGGGTGCCAGTTGACTCGGGGGGAGGGGACGGCCGCCTTAGCGAAAGGCCGTGGGCGGCCGTCGCCATCGCCCTGTCCTCCCGCCCCTATGTCCTCATCCGCATCCCTCCCCTTCGTCAAGGAACGCAAGGCCCCCTTCAGAGATGAGGCCACATGCAAGGCAAAGGGCGGCAAAGCGTGCCACGCTAGCTTTGGCCTGGCGGCCGCGGTGCTTCGGGCTTGATTTGGTTGGTGGTAGGGCAAGCGGCAACGGGGTGAGCGAGCGGGAGGGAAGGACGCCCCCCCCGGGGGACGGCCGCGAAGACGGCGGAACCCGAGGAGAGGGAGAGCAAGGAAACTGAGGCGGGAGGAGGAAGGGTCCTCCTCCTCCTCCTCCTCCTCCTCCACCCTCCTCCTCCTCCTCCTCCTCCTCCTCCTCCTTCTTCCCCTCCTCCTCCTCCTCCGCCTCCTCCTCATGAGGACACTCCTCGGCCGCCTGACTGGCGGCGGCCGCGGCGGGCCTGCACGGCCTCATGGCGCCAGACAGGAGCTGTCTGCTGGGCAGAGGCGGGGCACCCTCCTCCTCCTCCTCCTCCTCCTCCTCCTCTTTTTTTTTTCCCGTCCACGGCTATGTCTCAGAAAGGATTTGAAACCTGGCAGAGCGAGACACCCCTGGCAGGAATAAACGGGGCTCAATCCGAATCGCTCGAAAACCGAGTCCTGGAAGGCCCCGAAAAAAGAACACGCGCAGCCTCATCCTCCTCCCCCCACCCCTCCGAAGCAGCGAGGGCCCCGCCTGGCGGAGCGCGCTGCGCGGGCCGGCCTCCAGCGGCAGGGGCCTGGCCTGACCTCGCCCCTAAGGGAGGGACGAGGGCGGGAGGGGGAGGGAGGGGAGGCTCACGAGGGAGCGGGGATGAGGTGAGACGACCGAGCGACGCCGAGACAGGTAACGAGCAGCCAGTCTCTACCACCACGTGTGGTTTATCTGGATGGCTGCCCTTCTGGATCTTTCTCCAGTTCTTGTGACCTGTGACTGTCGGCGGCTGACACACCTGGCCCAGTTTCTTGACCTGGGCCCCAGAACTGTAAGACCTGCAGCGCAGGCAAGTGAACAAGAATGAATTATCGGAGCAGGCTAGAGCGATGACTTTATGCCCCAGCCTGTCCAATACAGCAGAGTCGAGCCTGGAGTGGCCCCTGCACCCCCCTGGCTCAGGCGGGCGCTTAGAGAGGGACCCTAGGAGGCAAACTCTGCACCTCCAAACAGAACTGATGAGTTCCCATTGGTGCTGCAGCCGATGCACGGCAGGGGCAGGAGGACGAGGAACACGCTCCACCCCGAGGAACTCCACACGAGGCCAAAGGGGGAGGAGGGCAGCACCGAGGGACATCACCGTCTTAGACACCCTAATTTTCCAGTCGAGCTCCCGAGACAGACTGGGGTCAAAGGCAGGGTGTCGGGCGACTGCACGCTTGGCACCAGCATCCGCTAGCTCGTTGCCCTTCCTCAAAAATCTTTCTTCCTCAGAGAGATCAGGGGCATCTGGATCGAGGTGGGCATCGACTTTGGCCAGCGAGCGCAGCTTCCCTTGCCCCAAAGACAAGCCTTGCAACATGAGCCCAGAATAAACCCTCTTGGGAGACTTGCACACGTCGAGGCCTAGGGAGTACTGTTTAACGACATTAGCGCAATCACTGTAAGCGTCAGCCTGGCCCCCTACACACACGCCAATGCCACAAAATGCAGAGTACTCAGCAGCCTGGGGCGACTGCGCGTAGGGGGGCCAAACTGGGGCAGAAACTTCACAGACTAAATTGGCCTCGGGGTCCACCATGGCAACACACCAAGCGCTCCTGCAGAGTTCAGACACAGGGTGGCGGATGCAAGAGCCATCTATAAACAAGGACCCCCAGACCCCAAGGTCAGGAGAGGTAGGCGTGGGACCCAGGGACCCAGGGGTAGTGACCTCAGGGACCATCCAGTTGACCAGTACTTCTCCATTGCTCTCGGGCCGAGGGAAGTAGTCACCAGGGTGCCGAAAGGCTCCATATATCCAGAGAGTGGCCTCGTAACCCTCAGCTGCAGTGTCGAGGGCACTGGCAATAATCTCATCATCAGCAATTTCTTCACGCACAGAAGCGCACGACGGGCACTCCCAAAGACGGTGCCACAATGTGTCAACCTCGGAGCGGCACAGCTGGCAGATGTCGCAAACCTGGTAGCCAGCTAGCTTCGCAGAACTGGCGGTCCAAATGGCGTTGCAGGCCAAGGCACGCATCGTCGACCTATCCTTAGGGCTGGTGCGTTTGGACCTGATACAGGATTTGACAATGTCCCAGCAAAGCCTGTGCTCGACCCCCAGCTTCTCCCCCGAAGACCGTTCAAGCCCCCTCAACACGGCAGCCCGACACAAAGCCCCCACAAGGCGGGGGGACAGCAGCAGGAGCTGGAGGGTCTCACCCAGGTCCGGGATGATGGTGCAGAAGTCAGTCATCTGCCACCCTACGCGGTAT